AAATGTACCAAAGGCAAAATTAATGCTTCATTCACTTGAAAGACCAATGAATTATGAGCATGGTTGTCACGCCGGCCGGCGTGCCACCGGTTGTACCGGGTTCAACCGATACCGGTCATAAAACCGGCGTGACACCACCGGTATGACCGGCATGATCGATATACGAATCTCTAAGTAAAATGACTTTAATTTAGAGAATTTAATTGATAAAAATTATTTTATTATTTATTTTATGAGTATAAAAGTTAAATATTGATGTTATTTGTTGGATTCAAGTATAAATGTTTAGGTATTGACGTTAAATGTCATGTTTAAATATGAGTATTTATAATTTTATTTGTAATATTGACCGACATGAACCGGCACAAACCGGTATGTGCCACCGATTGAACCATTCCACTTGCTAAACCGGCACACTGGCATAAACCGGTTTGACTTGAGGTAGTTTCTTGATTGGTCTTCATAGCCTCATCAAAATGAACTATGACGCCTCAAAGCAGCATGTGAATTGTGACATCCTGATTACTTCTCTGGGAACATTGATTATCGGGACTTTTGATTTGTCTATGTGGTCTACTTTTCGCCTTCCAAGGCTTCTTCCCCTACGCTATTTTCCATTCTTCTACTTGAGCTGTCAATTGACGGAGTATCATCGGGCTTTAGAATGATGTAAAATCATAGGTGGTTTTGCATCAACCCTTCCATATACACCAGAATAGGAAAAATGTGTCAATTACGGTTGTTTTTAGTGACTTTAGGTGTACAAAACAGTTAGTTACATGCTAGAACTACGAGAGTATTTTCAGGGTTGTTCAATTCCTACTATCTTCCATAATTTTTTAGTAATCCTAAAATCAAAGAAGAAAGGGTCATATCCTCTATGGAATCCCAAACAGGCAGGAAAAGTGAAGAGAATCCCTATAGAGGAAGAAAGCCCTACTATCTACATGACTCCACCACTCAAGCCCGATCCACATCGTGAGCCAGCAACACAACTCGACATTACTCGAGCCACAACATTGGTTTTGATGGAACGATGTCGTTGCTTGGTATCTCGGCCATATTAATGATGGGCCTGAATAATTAAATCTAACATTTCTTTTGGCCCATGGAGTTTCTTTTTTATTATTGAGTTGGTTTATTTTAAGTTATCTAAATGCTACATACCAACCAATGTGATATTTGGAGCGAAAATCATTCTTCTAGGCATAAACAACTCTCTCTCCAGCCTTTCGGTATTAAAATGAAAGATAAGCCTTATCGGCAGCGTAGATAAACTTGTTTCATTGGTTGTCAGGAGATGATATGATTGTCATTTCTAATTGTCATCTTTGAGTGAAAATTACAGGAAAAATTGTATAGCCAGAGGCTTGTTTAGTTTCCTTAATTGAGAAAATCTAGTGTCGTTTTATATTTTGAGTTGCTACTCAACTCATTATACATAGTAGAATATAATTAAGAATGCCAATAGGACAGGTCAAGGTAGATATCTCGATATTCATATCCATTTTGTAACAGGTAGGGCGCTCAAGTCGGATATTTTGTTCTATGGTGCGGGTTGGGGCAAGTCGACCTATACGGGTATGTATTGTAACGAAAAATACTTGATACAATGATTTTTTATTAAAAAGTTGACAAATAAACTGTATCATAGTTAAATTAGTCAAGAAATTGAGGTTTATATCTATTTTCAAATTTATTGTACCTTAAATACAATGTCATAAAAGTAAAATCTTTAGTAATTCCTGTAAAATTACTTCTAATTATATAATAACGAGTCAACAATAGACAAATCAGGACGAGTCAGGTTGAATACAGTACTCATGTTCGTTACTAGACGAGTATTATCTGTTAAAAATAGATCAAACAGTTATGATAATTATGAATGATTAAGGAATCTTTGAGATAACAATGGGATGGAAGGACCCAATACTTCCACGTCAAAAGAAGGCCCAAACCATGCATGGTAGAGGTAGACTGCATTTGGACCATTACGTTTCCATTATTGTTCATTATAAAAAAAAAAAAAAAAAAACGTTTCCATTATTGTTTTTAAAAGAAAACAAACAAATAAATAACTGAATACGTCGACAACAATTGTAGGTTTCCTCTTTTAATGGGAATCGAGACATGTTTTAATCCACTCCTTTCCTTTAGCATTTTCGATTGTCCTCACCTAGGCCGTAGGTGGGGAAACTTTTCAATATGTAGTTCTTGCTTTATGTTAGAGTACCCACATTGAAAGTATTCTTGCAATTAGGCCTAGTAACATATATATTTATTTTAATTTATAATAATTTGGATGTTAAAAGAATGCTTCTATCTGTTAGTTAAATTAATTGAATTTGGACAATGTTGAAGAAATATTTTTCGTAATTTAGCAGTTACTCACATTATTCACATTACACAGAATTTAATACATTAAAAGAATTGACAACCAGTATATATATGTAGCGCAAGGTGGTCAAATTCGCTTATATCATTCCTCTAATGAGTGATATGGACATCTCGGGAGTATAATCAGTATATATATGCTGTTTTATATTACTTGTTTTATCAAAATATGTAGGAAAAGGAAAAAATAAGTAACACCAAATGAATTACGCACATATACAACATATCTCAAGACAATATCCCTACAAGCTAAACTGACACAAAATACAACATTACAAACATAATGATGAATTGTCATATTTAAATAATTAAATACAATATTGAACGTCAAAATCCAAAAAATTTATATTTGAATCTAACAAATACTATCAACATCCACATATAAACAAAATAGAATATTACAAACGAACAAGGGTTTGGTCAAGTTGTACTACCATTGATCTTGAACCTTGAGATCCAAGATTTTAATTTCTGAAAGGGCACCTGACTAAAAACAAACATATCGCAACCTTATATATAAATTATAAATCCATATTTTTTAAATGCACAATTATTTTTTGTTAATTAAATTCATCAAACAACATCATTGTACATGTCTAGGATCCGGAATTGATCATATGTTAGACCACCGGGTTTTTTATCAACCACTTTATAGTCCGTATATTCCTGTCAGTTTGTATTGAACCCTGTCTTTTATGCAATTTTATTAGTAACTATTATTACCTGAAAAGTGAAAAATGATTCATTATCATTGAAACTTAATTAAAATGGTCCAGCATCCCGTGAGATTTTCTTAATATACATATATATATATATATATAGCCATGATAGAGCCACGAACGGGAACAGAATCGGCAGCGCATTAATCCATCGCCTGATGAGTTCATATCCAACTTTTCCCCACCTCTCTTTCGTCCACTAGAAAGAGAGAAAGCTAGTGAGCTACGAAATTAATGAAGCCCCATCCCTGTTGTTGCAGTTTCACTTTCTTAAATTTAATTACCATGTCTACATATTTTAGGGTTTTAGCAAAGCTCTGGTTGTGCCGATAGGACGTGGCATGACTATCTTGACACTATCATATGACACAGATAAATTTTGGTAAAAAAGAAGTTCTGTCTCTATATTTATCGAGGTTATATTGCCACAATGCCACTACACAAAGCTCGGTTCTTGTTATATATATGAAATATTTATCTGTATATTTTTATTCTGAAAAAAGTACATACATAGTTTCAAATTCTGACTTCGACGCGGGATGTGCCCTAGCTCTCGCAAATTAAGAATTTTGTAATTTTTTTATTTAGGGTTTGGAGTTTGGTTGGAGTAGTCCCTTTCATATTTCACTTTTTGACCAAGATTGAATCATAGTTGGTGAGAATGAGTTTGTTGAAGTAAATATGACTCAACAACTGCTAAAGCCAAAAGGCAAACGTGTTCAAACAATAGAGAGATGCCTTGAGAGGGAGTTCACCAAATATTTTTATTTTTATTTGTTTGCTCAATGTGATAATTAATATAAAGTGTCCTATCTTAAAGAGGTTTTTACAAGTAAAAGTGGACCTCAATTCTGTGACTGTTAGCAAGCTAATTATGGGCACACTATTACTGAGTAGTGATTTTCAGGCAACCACCCAATCGAAACCTATGTGCAATTGTGTTGTGAGTAAACTTCACAAAACAGGTTGTAGAGTAGCGATATTCACAAAACTTAGGGGCAATTACAACTACATTAAGTTATATGTACCATATCACGAAAATGAACGTAATAATCCTCGCATTACCATTAGATCGACTCTAGAGGTGGCAAATGGATTGGATTCATGGACTGGATCAAATAGAAAGGTGAATTCGTGGATTGGATTATATGAATTGGTTGATTGATCCATGGAACCAAATGAAATCCAATCCTTGGACCAAAATGTAAATTTGAAAATTTCAGGTACTAAAATGTCATAATAAAAATTTTAAGTACCAAAATGCAATTTTCCAATAACGTTTTTGTGTAAAAAATAAATTTTATGTACCAAAATGTAAAAAATATAGGTACTAAATCATAATTGCCATTTGGATCCATGGATCAATCCATGAATCCACAAATCTAATTGGATTTGGATCAAATGAATTGAATTTAAATGTATTGGATTAGTTGGATATTTAAGTGAATAGATTGGATTGGATTGAGAATTGCCACCTCTACTATATATTACTATACGAATCTCAACAGTATTGATAAGATGAAGAAGCCAGACTGTTCACTAATTTGCAACTTGGACAGAATGATAGAACAACACCATATCAGTAATCAGTAATCAGTAATCACTATACGGTTCCTGTTGACTCATAATAAACCTTTATACATACTTTGTGTCACAATTCAGCTTAATATGACATTCGATAAGGTTGTGGTTCATTTTTAGTTCAATAGACATGTATTCATCATTACTATATACAAAACTATGTATATATTCGATCATGCATGTCTTTCTTTTTTTTTACTCGGACAACACTGAATCAAGTTATACTACATACGGGACAAAAATAATACCGAAATGAAGAAATAAGCACGATGGTCTCATAATGCAAACGAAATATTACTGATAATTTCGCGTTTACTAGGATGCTAGATGATGGTTTGATTGTTACATTTTAATGGTTGAAGCTGAAATGAATAATAATAAAACAATAAAGAAAGAAGAGTGGCAAGGAGATATATTGGCCGCTCCCTCCCTTCCCTTCCCTTCCCTGTCGGAAAGCAGCTACTGTTTTGTCATGCGCGTTTTCTGAAATCGAACCAATCCAATCTCTCCTCCTCCCTTCCAAAACGAAATTAAAAGAAAAAGAAAAGAAAAAATTTGTGGGTCCCATTCACTTTCCCCCAAATCACTTCTCGAAAGAGAAAAAAAAGGAAAGGATGGAAAGCACCAGCAGCACAGCAGAGAGCAAGAAAGAGAAGGAGAGGGGAGGAGAAAAAAAGGTTGAAATATACCACGCGTTTCCCCAAACTTCCTCAGTCCTCTTCTCCCTCTCTCTCTCTCCTTCAAAAACCCTAATTTCCTCTCTCTAAACCTCCATCAACTCCACCAAATTGATTCCTCCTGCTCCCCGTTCCTCCGATCTATTCGAAAATCACCGGTGTAGCAAGCTCGACAGATTAATACTGCGAGCGTTTGTTCGTTTCCGATGGACGACGAGGCGAATAAGAATAATCCCGATCCAGCTGTCGACGACTTCGCCATCAGCGACTCCAGCTGCTGGACGACGCTCGGATCCACAGCGGACACCGTCAACTACTTCTTCTCCGGCGACAGGCACGAGAGCTCGATACTCAGCGAATTCGGGTGGAGCTGTACCGCTACCTCTCCTCCTCCTCCTCCTCCTCTCCTCCACCACCACCACCACCAGAGTGTTGGAGAGCGGGTCGGCGGTCCGGCAGCTGGAATAGGAACGCCTTCTGAGAGCAGCAGCAGCGGTATACAAGGATCCGGAGTTGGATCGGGAGATGTGGCGTCGGTTTCGAATCCGTCGGTGTCGTCGAGCTCGAGCGAGGATCCGGCGGCAGAGAAGTCTACGGGATCGGGCGGTAAGCCGCCTGAGATACCGTGAGTTTTTTGGATTCCATACTTACCCCTTTTCCGTTTCCTCTGCTTCCTTCCTTTTCTTTTCATTCGTCTTCCGCTCATCATCAAAATATCAATCATCCATTCATACACAAAAAACGTGATGATATTTCTCTGCTGGCAGGATCGTAATTAACTCACATTCCCAGGGGCGGAACCGTTAACTCGCCTCTGTTTTTGTGTTTTTTAAAAATGGTTTTTCCTCTGTACGAAATCTGGAGCAGAATCGAACAGAGCGCAAAGAAGAAATTTTAAAATCAGAACAGAACAGAGTGCGATTTTGCGCGTCCGTACAGATTGGTTATATTATTCGACTCCTGATCTGCTCGTGCAGGAGAATGAGGAAGAAGGAAGGAGGGCTGGGAGGTTAGAATGGTAAATTGGGAAGAGTCAGGGGGGAAGGACTGAAACGGAATATTTGGGGTGGTGGGGGGGAAGCATATAATTTAATAATTGAGAGGCCCTTGAACGCCGCCGTCATTGCGGCGGGGATGGCGTGCCTCTTCCACACATTCAAAGGAAAATTCCGGAAAAGTTTTCTTTTGAAAACCTTTTTTCAAAAAATTTTCACGTTCCGATAAAAATGAGTTGAGAAAGGGCTCGAGAAAGGGAAAAAGGTAATTAACGTAACACGGTGGTAATTATAATATAACTATTATGAGTAGATTTAAAAGTAGATTTGAGTTGTGCTAATTTTAGTTGCAAGTCATTCTTGCTTTCGTTTCTCTCTTTTTGCATTGTCACTCATTTCCTCGGAATTTTCGGTGGTTGGTCTACATTCATCCCCTTTCACAATTATTCGGAACGCTGTGCCATGCCCACGAGTTGCACGACGAAATGCTTCACTGAAATCTGATCGCTGGTCTCCTTTCCTTTATCCGGGTAGTTTTTGTTCCTTTGCTTTCTTCCTCTCCCTCTAGTTTTTCTTATGTCGTCTCCTTAATTTCTGCCCGCTAACTCTTCTCTCGGCGTCCTTTACTTACTCTTTTATCAATAATGGTCTCGATTGAGATTTGAGATCGATCATGGTGCCTAGTAATCTAGTGGCATAGCTCACCCATCCTTTTCCTTATCAATGCCTAAGATGTTCGTCCATCAAGTTAAAGTGGTTTCGATGGCTAGTAATCTAGCATTAGTATCTATAAGACTATAACGATGATAACATTAGGAGCTAGAATTCAGGGTTTTTAGTTATTAGCCATTTACACATATAGCTAGGTTAATTCGTGGTGGTTTAGGTTTCTACTTCTTTTTCTCTTATGTCTATATTCTTTGCTATATTTGGAAGGAGGGGAACTGAATCTTGACACTCTGCTGCGATATAGACTTTGCTTTAGTTTCAGTTATTCACCACTGACTAAGCTCAACCAGAATCCCAGTTGATTGATATGCTATCCCTCTCTTTTTTTTACCCCAAGTGGAGAGGGTGAATAGATCGGGTGCGTACGTTTCATTAACGTCTGCAAGTACTCTCTTGTCTGGTTAAAAAAGTTTGCTTTAAGCAATTGATTAAAGCTTTTGATCTACTTGTTTCACTAGTAGGGTAAGAAACGTAAGAGGATGGCCCAGTACTTTGCACCTGCAATTCGGGTGAAAATTCTGAGCTTCAAGCATACACGTTCATGCAACCAGATCATCAAACAGTAAAAAGAGAGGAAAGGGTACGGGTGAATTCTTTTCTGAAAGAGTCACAGAACCCGTATGGGACTGGTTAGCTAGTGATGATAGGGGCAGCTGATATTCCTCCACAAGAGCGGCTGGTGCATGTATTTACGCCCGCAGTGAGTGAGAGCACGTACAGTTTATAATTATAGATACAGCTGGAGGTTACTTGCAAGAAAAGGCTCTCTATGGTACACAATAGGAAAGAACAGATACCAAACCCTTATTGTCACACGCAAACCATGTAGGGTACGTAGGAGGTATATATACCGATCAGTTTCGGTGGGTAGCATATGAACTCATTCAATTCATCTGTGTTTTATGGTAATTTAAACTTGCTCCGTTGAATATTATTTGATCTGACTCGTGCTAGGGCGGGTATACCGCCTTCGAGTAACGTGTGGTGGGACATGGGTACTACTTATGCCCTGCCCAATCTTGTCTTATCGTTTTCTTGATCCGCATCCTACCTTGATTTGACTCAATAATTTTCTTGTTTTGATTTATACTAACTCATATTTTCATCAGACAATACTTTATTTTTTAATTACTAATAATTGGACTCCATTAGTCTGCCTGTCATCTCTATTTTTAATTTACGTATTTTTTGTTTGTTTTATCACTAAAAAAATGAATATGTCCTTTAAAATTTTAAATAATATCTAAGAATAGGTTGACCTGTCTCAACCCGTACTCACATGGGTATCACTTGATCTGACCAACACTTGATACAGAATGAGTATAAGTATTGAGATACCCGTTAACACCACCATCATCACTAATTACTAGGTTATTCACATTTTCAGTTACTAGGGAACCACTCTAGAGTCTAGTGGCCTAATTAAAGACAACCTTTAGGGGTCGTTTGCTTGTGGGATTTGGGTGATGGATTTGGAACCCAAATCCCAAGCATCATGGAGTTGACACAAATCATTTGTTTGTTGAGGGACACAAATTCGTGGGGTCCACGGATTTGGACCCATTTTTTAGATCCAAATCCGTGGACCCCACGGATTTGTAAATCCCACATTTCATTTGGGATTTGACAATAGAATGAAAACATATGAGACAAATCCATCACAAATCCATGATAAAAAATCAACTAAACAAACAATGTACTCTTCTAAATCCATGATGCAACAAATCCATCATAAATCCAAAGGTTTTTGAATCTCAAAACCTTCATTTTCAAATCCAACAAGCAAACGAGCAGTTAATGAGTGTTGATTACCATAACTTTTTTTTATATCATTAAGTCGTTTCGAACTTTGAAAGCCCGAAACTTTTATGATGTAACAGTACGAGGTAAAAAATAGTGTTTAATTTCACATATGAAACAAATTTAGATTTTTACTTTCCTAAAATATATTAGCGATGGAAACAATCACCATTACAATCTTTGAAGAAGAGAATATAGCATCTTGTCTATGCATGGGATCATATAGCCGTGTCTGAGTGTTTGTTCCATCGAATATGTATGAATATATTACTTGATCCTAATGGTATATTATATAGTATCATGTGCAGTATAGTTATAAAATAAAATAAATATGAATAAAAGACATGTGAGACCCACTTTTATAAAATACAATTGTAAATACTTCACACTTCATGCATTTGAACCCACTACGAATTTAATATGTATACCATACATAAAACATGTCGATGAAATCTTGATCTGTTATGTTGAAATTTTTAATAATCTCTAACATAATATGCCCACCAAATCTTTTTTTTGCTTTTATAACAAAATTGTCAGTGATGATAGGATTACAACAGTGAGGGATTTATCATTATTGTGCACAAATATTTTAATTTTGGGTGCAAACTTATGCCAATTGCCTTGTTTGGGCAATCAGCACTACAGAACGCTGCAACTGGCAATTCGAAAGCAACTTAAACAATAATAATCATGTAAAAAAAACCGTATTCTTTTGTCGTGGGGGATGTATTCCATATTTCCATTTGCATGCTGCCAGTAATCCACTTGTAGCCTAGCTGTCTAATTAATTATTCTTCTTTTTTTCTTTCTTTTTCTTTTGCTTTGTTTTTTTTTTTCTTTCTTTTAGTTTATTTATGTTTTGATAAATTGTAGGAACAAACATTTATTTTTGTAGGAGCGGCGCAACGGCGAAGAAGAAAGGGCAAAAGCGGATCCGGCAGCCACGCTTCGCCTTTATGACCAAGAGCGAAATCGACCACCTCGAAGACGGCTACCGATGGCGGAAGTACGGCCAGAAGGCCGTCAAAAACAGCCCTTACCCCAGGTTCCACACTCCATCGCCAATATTTTACCCTTTTGGAAGGGCATTCCCGTAACTATGGCACGAACGAAACTCTTTTGGTCGTTATTTTTTTATTTATTTATGCAGGAGCTACTACCGGTGCACGAACAGCAAGTGCACGGTGAAAAAGAGGGTGGAGAGGTCGTCGGAGGATCCGACGATCGTGATCACGACGTACGAAGGGCAGCACTGCCATCACACCGTCGGATTCCCACGTGGCGGAATCATCGGCCATCATTATCACGATGCAGCCACGTTCGGCGGTGGCGGACCCTTGTTAACTCCAGCGCCGATGATGTCGCATTTCTACCACGTCCCGGCCGGAACTATCCAGTTCGCCCACGGCGGCGACACGCCGTCACCGGCCGCCATGATGCAGCAGCCACCGCAAGCAGGGGATCATCAACATCAAGTAGCAGGAGAAGGTAGAGAAATAATTGCTTCGACGCCGACAACTACTAGTTCCCACCGCCACGACCAGCAGCGGGACAAGATTCCTACCGACGAAGGACTGCTCGGCGATCTTGTGCCTCCTGGAATGCGCAACAGATGAATTGCATGTACACAAAAGAAGAACAAGGTACGCAACTACTGACTACGTACTAATTTATGTTTATGAGATGTCACTTCTTTTCCGGACGGTACTTTGTGCCAGAATATGAGGTTACCTAACAAAGCTTGAACCCACTTTCCTTTTTCTTCTCATTCTTTCGACTCTTGCTCTGCACCTCTCGTTAACAATCGGTACTTGTACCAGAATACGATGTTAGCCTGTGCAATTATGTCTATCATGTCAAATTCATCATGAATATGCACTATCTCGCTATCGTGCTTTCATAAAAAAAATATATGCGAGAACGTGCTCACAGAATTTGGGAGCCATTGGATCGGGTGATGTGCCCCGTGATTATTGGACAGTCGCGGTGGGCATGAGACATGCCCAACACCCGATCCGACAACTCCCTCTGTCCCGTGAGCACATTCTCGCAAAAGGGTTGTAATCAACATAGCTGGATTGGAATATAAATTTTACGATTTATTATTATTATGTAACCCTAGAATTACAATACATAATAAGTTACCTATATAAGTTGGACACTATATAAGCTATGAATCAGTTAGCCGGACTAGTATCTATAGTCTTTGAATTCTCCTCACTACCTTTATGGCCTCGCCAGTTGATGTGACAAATGCTGAACTTGGCTGGTAATCCATAAACTTTGCGCTGGTAGGGCATTGTTGTTGTTATTATTACTACTACTACTACTTCTCTCCTGCAAGAGTGATGTCGACCTTCTACTTGTGGCCTTGCATCCCTCCATCATCATCATCATCATCTTCTTCACATAATTGTTATTGGCTCCTAACTTATCCTCTACTGTCCCTTACTCACTTACCCTGAATGGGTCTCTCTCTACCATCTTATCTTCTTCATTATTGCTAACTTTATTACAATTGGCTTCTTCTAGTAAATTTACGCAACAGCATAACATGGGACCTAGAGATTATGGGTTTTCGTGGAGATCAGATCAGGACACGGTGTGAAGCTTTGCTTTGGTGATTCTAGTTGAAAACCAACCCCTTTGTTTTTTCCTACAGGATTACATGGTCTGTGGCGCAAGTAGTATTTCTACGGTGGCGGAGCGACGGTTCGGTTCGTATATCGATGGTATTATGTAGGATATTAATTAAACCCCTTGATTGGGTGAGCCCAAGTACTTACTGGTCCCTCGAGAAGCATGCGATTAGAATGGGCCATGCAAATGCCCACCCACCACCAGCATTAATCCCGTGGTTGGGCCCTCGATACACGCTTATCATCCAGATCGCCATCAAGTGGGGGTAACTATATCATTAATGTATCTTAATCATGATTAGAAAGCTGATGTTGATTATGATGCTGATGCAATATTGTTTGTATACTAAAGTGTGAATAGTGGAATTGGGGGAGGGAATAGTTGTGGTGGGAGGAGGAGAGCCTGTAGGAGAAGGGGTGATGATTTTTTCCCCCTTCAAATCCACTACTGTTGCTTGTGGTCCAAGTAAGTACAATGATGGTCTAGTTAGGATGCATGGTGGGCTCAGGGGCTAGATTGTACTACTGTATTTACAGAGCAGAATCCCATTCTTCCTGGACGAGAAGATCATTTCACTTCTCTATCTTTGTTGTGGCAGAGAGAACTATGACTTATTTATCCAGAAAAAAAAAAGTACTGCTGTAATATTTCACCATTGTGTAACTGTTCTTGATCTTCATTCCTTGCGTGTGTCACTCCGGGTAAAAACATATGGCCTGGTGCTCTACTTTTACTGCAAGCTCTTTCTTTATCTTCACGCAAGAAGTAACATTAGGTAAGTATGCTAGTCAGAGATCTATTGGTGTAGCATGTACAGCTCATGGATGATCAGCTGCAAATGATTGCAATTGTAAATCAAATAATCAATGATGTGAGATGAGTTGTGGATCCTTAAACGTGCTTTTTAAAATGATATCCACTTTGATATATTTTAGTACAAAAAAATTGAATAGTTTTTTACCAGTCATTACCATATGGTATGCTCATATTTAATACCATATGGTAAGAAAGCGTACCATGATGGTATGAACATACCAATATGGTAAGAATGTTGAATACATGATAGTAGGAGTATACTAACTGTCATTTACGACTTTCATCATTGTTTACCACAAGTTACCACCCACATACCATAGTGGTAAAGTATGGTAATTTTTGGTCCAGTATTTTTTTCACCCATAAATTTGTAAATCCAATAGATCACGATGAACTCGTTCCTTCTGAGCAAACGTTTTCAAAAACGACTTAAAAACAAAGAAGTTACCATATGGTATGTAGTTGGTAAAAAACAAGTTTCTCAAAATATATTGAAAATTGATCTCATTTTGTAGAGCACAATGAACTCGTTCCATGTGTGCAAACAAAAAATTAAAATCCGAGTTAGAACAAAGAAGATAAGAGTCGATCATGAAAACTAGGGAAAATAAAATGCCTTTAATTGACAACCCTTAGATCTGGATTTTCTGGGCCCATTTAGATCTAAAGGTCCAGATTTAGTTACTCATAAGTCAGTAACCATTGGTTACTGACCCTATCCTAAGCCGACATTTAAGGGGTTAGGGAGAGAACAATTATGTTGAAGAGAAATTAGAATGCTTGTGTAGGGGGTCATTTTCTAATGAAATTAGATCTGGATTTTCTGGGCCCATTTAGATCTAATAGTCCAGATTTAGTTACTCATAAGTCAGTAACTATTGGTTAGTGACCCTATCCTAAGCCGACATTTAAGGGGTTAGGGAGAGAACAATTATGTTGAAGAGAAATTAGAATGCTTGTGTAGGGAGTCCTTTTCTAATGAAATATGTTGTTGTAGTATGATATCCTTTAGTAGGGACAAGCCTTTGTCCTGATCGATTTTGTATTCCTTGTACTAGTTGTCTGACTCGCTTGTACTGTCACACTAGAAAGTGGCCAAGTGTAACCACCTTCTAATGCGTAGTATAGCGGGTTTAGCTTTATTTGTCAATCCGGGTCCTAGGTGTGATGACTACTCCATGAAATTCTTGTTATTTAGTTGTTTAATTATAGTGAGGTGTTGTAACTAAACTAAACAAACACAAAGCAGTAAAGGTTGTGGTTCAAGTTTTAGAAAGGTCACCCGGATTGCAGTTAAGCCGAATTGTAATTCACCAAGTCCAAATTCAATGACAGTTATACTGCGAAAAGTTCTTATTCAGTCTGAATTCTCGACTAAAGGTCTCCAAACCCTCTCAATCTGAATACCCGACGTGCGACTAACCTCCACCATAGTAAATGAACTGAGGCCCTAACGTGCCAAACCTCCTCTACTGGAGCAAATCTAGTACATAGCAGTACTGAATTGACTCCTCGACTAAAGTAGTTAATTCACCACTTTCAATTAAGGGTGCTCTATCAACCTAGGTAGATATTCTCTTTCTAGGTCAAATCATAAACTATAAGAATGTGATAAGGAGTCATGCAATTCAGAAATCATGTCTGAATAGAATATAATCAATGTCAAAAGATCATGTACTTGGGTTCATACAATCAAACCTAACATACAAATCTAGGGTTCTTCATACCCACGTAAGAGAGGGAGTTTACTCCACAGAGAGAGAAGAGAAATCAGCTTCAGATGCATAAATCATCTTGTGAAGGATGATAATGAGCTTCTGATTGTCAATCGATGCTTCTCTAGGCTTCAATCGAGCTCCAATGGTGTTCAATCTCAATCTAGATCACCTTGGAGAGTGGGTTCATCACTTTCTCTCTCTAAAACTCTATTTTAGTTCTCAAATCTCCGATCCCTCTCAAAGACTCGAAATTGGGTTAAAATCTAGATCTGCCCAATTTCACGGCCAGACCACACTACGTGTAAAAATCTAGTCTACCCGTGTAACTCCCAAAATGCGACGTTGCACTTAGTTGGTCGAGGGAAGTCACACGGCCAGACCACACGGCCGTGTGAAATTAAGCCTTGCCCGTGTAGACCCCCTGGACATCCCGTACGGCCAAAAGGTGCCCTTGCACGGCCAGTACGACCCTGCCCGCATAAACGGCCTTGCACGGCCAACTTGTACGGCCACGTAGAATCATGGCATGGCCGCGTAAAATCCTCAGCTTTCCGTCAAACGTCCTAACTTCGTCTTGTAGACACCACATTTTGTCCGGGCTAAAACATATATTTAATTAAATAAATTTAGTTTTTGTTTAAAGTTTGCAATAGCGAATATTTAAATGAACTAACTACAACGTATTTATTGTGCTAGGAATGAGTCTTGTTTGCCATAACTCAATTGAAATTAAGCAATAGCGAATTTCGATCAATATTATTTGAGAATTAACATGTTTTGCTTTAATTGAGAGAGCCAAGCATTTGTCGGCTATGTTTATCACATGAATTGACCAATCAAATTAATTCTAAAGGAATTGGGCTTTGAAACATTGAGCCTCGATTTTTGGGAAGAAAAATAATAATATAAAACTTTTTATTTATTCAAGTCTCAATAAATGACAAATACAATAGTAATTATAATTACAATAAGGAAAAAGAAGATTACTAAGTAATAAACAAACATTACAAAAAATTAATAATAGTTACATGTACAAGAAGAATCAAACATAAATAAAAAACTCCAGCCCAATTACAATGCCAAACTCAATCCATTTCAAAGTCACATGCCTAGTCAATGTCCAGTCCAACTAAAAGTCAAACTCTGGTTAAGCCCACTCTATACTGGCCCAAATTCGGGTCAAACAAAAGTCAAAGTCAATAAAAGTTCAACCCAGTTACCCCGATCAAATCTGGTCCAACCCAAATCAGTACTGTAGCAAGCTTGCTCTCCAAGCTGCATGTTCAATAAAAGAACCCTCGACACTAGCACAAAGGGGGATCAACTTGTTCTTCCTTCGGCTTCATCTTCACCATTTAAACAAAACCCTAAAAAAACACTCACAGACTTCTTCTCTTCCCTTTTCCACAGACGAGGACTTATTTCTTCTCCTTGGCAATGGCTTCCTTTCCTCTGAACAAGGACGGATTCTTATTATTCTCATCCATTTCCCCACAGACCTCTTCTTCTTTTCACCTCCTTTTCTTTCTCTTCCCTCACTAAACAAGTAAACATACACAAAGAAAGCGATAGGTTAGGAAAAGAAACCACACTACCACACATTAGGAGAAGAGAAACTAAAAACAGACGTAAAAAGGAAAAGCTCTAAAAAGTTATCACTTTTTCTTCTCTAGTCAACACCACAACATACCACAAAATAGGAAAAGGGAGAGGAAACAACAACTCATCCCCTTCATCAATCATCCAGGAAAAGATAAAAAAATACCACCAACGTTCTTTCATCACAAATCAACTCCAAACAACTTACAAGATGGCAAAGTTACCATAAATGCAAAGCAATAGACAAAATCATATTCATTGTTTTCCTTTTAATGCTCCCTACTTGCTGTCTACATTTAGTTTATCTTGTAGTTTATATTTTCATGTTTTACAAGTGAAAGCCAAATCTATTTGAATATTTGTTTCCTTTTTTGCTTTAATCGCTTTGTATATTTATTTACCATAATTCATCATAGAAAACACATAATTTCAATCTCAAAACCCGGTTATCTTCACACAATCAAACCCAAATTCCACATATTATCAAATACCATAAATACACTGAATTTCCAATACTCGAGTCGAGCATCATCAAACCAAGCATCAGTTTCAAACCCACAATAAAATCAGTTTTCTGGGTTTTAAAATCCCTAACCAGTCAAATTCGAGTTTGGGAAAGATAATACAAGAATCCCTTCAGAGCATGAAATCTAACAAAAACAACGAATCATAGTCAAAATCTAAAAAATAAAAACAAGAAAACGCCTAAAACTTAGAATGGTTTACCAAAATCAAAAGCTCACCTTATTTTCGTCGCCGCCAGCGAAACTTAGATCTGTCGGCGGCGACCGTCTTCGTCCTTCCATTCCTCTGCTTCCTTTCCTCACCCATGATTAAAACCCTTAACCTTCAAGAGATAGAACAAAGTCAGATAAGTAATAGATAAGAAAAATGAAAAGCTCAAACCAAAAACACCCTCAACGCTTACCGCTGGGTCCCACTTTGGTTTTATTGACACCGGCCAGAGTTACTCCACTCTGTCGCCGAAGGCCTTTTTTTCTCCGCAACCGGCGGATCCTGACCGCCGGTCATCCTCGTTTCTTATCATGACCTAAACCCCCAAAATTAAAATCAAAACACAAAAGCAAAAACATTCAGAACCCTAAAACAAAATCGAACCTCCAAACTTGACATGCAAGCTGAATAAACCACCTCTTAGTCTTGTTGCGGGCATCATCATCGTCGCCGTTGTCGAGCGTCGAGGTCGAGCGCCAATGCTGCTCATCACCTTCGTCATTTGTTTTCTTTTCTTCCTTTCTCCTCGTCATAACCAGAGAGAATGAGAAATTGAAAGGAAGGATCGAGAGGAGAGGAATGGCGAGAGATTTAATCACGGAGACGCGAGGGAAATTGAGACAGGAGAAGAAGACCGACTGGAGGAAGAAGGAGCAGCGACCGACCTTTCCCCCGTCATCACCTTCTTGGTTGGAAGGAGCAGAGAGAGAGTTGAGAAAGCGGCGATGTGTTGAGAGATGAAGAAGAGTAAAGAGCGGCTAGGGGTTCACTTGCTCCCATCTCTTTCTTTAATTGGCCGACCTCTCTAAATGACCAAAATCTCT